CAATAAAATAAAAAATTCACAAATATGGAATTTAAAGACCACATTCTGAAACAACTAATGGACTAATGTACAACTCACAAAGGAAGTCAGAAAATAATTAATGAAAACCAAAGCACAACATACCAAGATTTATAGAATTTAATTAAAGCAGAAATAAAAAGGGTCTCAAATCAATAACCAAGTTTTATACCTCAAGGAATTAGAAAGAAAGAATAAATCAGACTTAGAGACAACAGAAGAAAGAACAAAATAAAAGAGTAAAGATAAAGAATAAAAAAATCTAAACAAAATCTAATGTTGGTTCTTTCAAAAGACTTACAAATTTGAAAAACCTTAAGCTACATGGATTAAGGAAAAAAAAGACTCAAATTACTAAAATCAGAAATGAAAGTGGTAACATTACTGTCAATCTTACAGAGATAAATATGACTTTAAGAAAATAGTAAGATAAATGATAGATTATTGGACAACCTATATAAAATGGACAATTTTCTAGTAGAAATAGAAAATCTGAATAATCCTGTAACAAGTAGAGATAGAATAAGTGGTCAAAAACCCACCAAAAGAAGATTCCAGGAGGATGGCTTCACTAAAACATTCTCCTAAATATTTAAGAAATAATGCCAATGCTTCTTAAATTGGATAAGAGGAAGGAATATTTTTTATCACTTCCTGAGTGTAAGGGAAATGAGGAGTGACTACTTATCAGGCATGGAGTTTTCATTCAGGATGATAAAAAGTTCTGGAACTACTGTATTGATAGCTGCATAATACTATCCCTGTACTTAATGGCACTGTATTACACACTTGAAAATGGTTAAAGAGGCAAAATATATATTGTCTTTTTTTCACAATAATAACTATTTTTCCAAGCTTCAAAAGCTAGCCATGAAAGAATAAACAGTGTATGGAAATAACATATAAAATGATCAAAACAGAAAGTAAAATAGCGTTGGTTAGGATTGGGAGGACTGGGTATGAAAATGGGGACTGACTAGAAGTGAACATAAGGTTTTCTCTTTAGGATAATGAAAACATTTTAAAATTAGGTTGTAGTGATAGTTACACAATCACTATTTATAAGTATACTAAAATTTAATTGTCCTCAATATATATAAATGTCATTGCAAGTAAAGTATTTCTCAAAATGCTTTTAAAAAACTAGACAAATGACACTCAACTGATGAAGGTAAGTATCGGAACTAGCTGAATATCAAACACTGCATCTTAGAGCAGACAAAATCTTACATGCAGTGTACCTATTAGCTAGTAAAACTGACAAAAACACAAAGTGAACTTATCATACTTTAGTATTTATGTCATAAACATTTTCTTTGCTATAGTCAAATGACAGAAATTCAACATAAACATTAAAAAGTTCAAAGGCAGTAAAGAAAAGATATGCCATGACCAAATTAATACTCTGTGCACCAGCTTTATGCATATTGTTACGCCTAACAGCACAGAATGTATTCTGTGGAAGGCATAAATAAAAGATATCAATAGAGGTTATAGATAATTTGCTTAACTCTTAGCAGAAGTATTTGTCTCGGGGCTGGGGATTTAGCTCAGTGGCATAAGCTCCTGCCTTGCAAGCAGGCAGTCATGAGTTCAATCCCTGGTACCGATAAAAAATGAAAAAGACAAAAAAAAAAAAAAAGAAAAGAAAAAAGAAGTATTTGTCTCTACGGCAAAAATGGATTGTCTCTTCCATAAAACATACGATATGAATGAGGCTTTTCTATCATTCACTTTTCCTTGTTTTTATGATTAGATACAAAAACCTGGACTCAACAGTGAATTACAAGCTGCATCTACTAAAACATCACATTCAAGTTGTAAGGTGGAGGGTAGTCCCTTCTTTTTGAACATCTCTCCCAATTTATCAAGTATTAAAGAAAAATAAGGAAAGTTTAGAGCTAGAGAGTGGCATAAGCACATGCCTAGTAAGCACAAGTCCTGAGTTTGATTACTGATATAAAAAAAAGAAGAAGAAGGAAAGGTTAAAAGTACTGTAATTCAGTTTTAAAGGTGGTGGCATCACTAGGCCTTCAGCCCAATTTTTAAATTTACCATGATGTCACAGTCGTTTCAGTGATATATGTAAGAACAGGTCAATGAAAACCTTCATTTCATATATCATGCTGTCACACAATTCTCATCAGAGCCAAAATTTATTACAGGGAGTTGAAGGTATCTTTATCTTAATTCTTTTCTGTATTAATATATTTGCTATTGCAAGTGTCCAGAAGTTACAAGGAGTTAAAAATAGCTCATAAGGCAGACTATTCACATAAAAAGTTTTTTTTTGGAAAGATTTTGTAATCACTGGCCCAAAAAGCAAGTTGGTGACACAAGACAAAAGAATCAAATTATTTCATATTATTTCTATATTATTTTATGAATAAACAGACATGACTTCCATAAAGCTAGAAACTCAACCAGAGATGGCCAGAGCAGAATGGCAAATCATAACCTATTTTTGCAAATAACATTATTTTATGAGAACACAGCAATGTTCAATCATTTAGGTAAAGTTTATGACTGTTTACATGCTATAATGGCAGTTAAATAGATGAAACACAGTCCTTTGCACCATAAAGCTTAAAATACTTACTACGCGGTTCTTTATGAAAAAAAAAATTCCAACCACTATTAAAGAACTGAAACCCAGTGCTGTTTATCATACCACATATTCAAATATTTCCTGTCTCAGGAAGAGTATTTGACATCAGAATTACAATGGCAAGAGAATGATAGTGTTAGAAACAAAGACCAAATCAAGACAAAATGGAGATTTTTTTTTTGTGCCATTTGTTATGTATCCCTCGGAAAGTAATTCTCTGCACCTCAGTTTCCATATCTACACAGCACGGAATGTAGATTACATGAATATAAATTATCTTTTCAATTAAACTATGTTGGTCCACACTACGTATTTACACATTAGGAAGCAGTAGTGAAGGTATAAAAATTTTTAAATTGTACTTTGTTTTTATTTTTTCTTGTAAATAAAAAAGCAGTGAGTTATCTTAAATGTCATTATCATCACAACTATCTTATAAGAAGTATTATTTTGATTTTATAAGTGAGGAAATGGGATTCAGAAAGGACAGTATTTATATAAGATTACCAGCATTTGCTTAATATTTTACAATGTGTAGTGTAGTGTAGTGTTGACAGAACACATGCAAAATCAGGGGCTATGAACTATAATGCCTATAGATAATGTAGATGCTAGACAGTTTTGTGGTAAACCAGAAACTATATGTCCTGTTTAAAAGGAATAGGCCACCATTCAGCTAGAACTATTTGCAAACAGATAGGGAAATGCAACCAGTATTGTCAAATCTTCAGATTTCATGAGGCTGGATATTACAATTTTTATTTTAAATGCGCCAATGTTTCTTTTCTTTTTGTAGTGTTTTTTTTTTTTTTTTTTTTTTGTGGCTGAGGGTAGACCCTACAATGCAGGACTTAGTGCATGCTAGGCAAAAGCTCTCCAACTAATCTATATTGCTAGCCCCAATATTCCAATTTTTAAATGAGAACAACTGATTAAAATGAGTAGGATGCATTTGGTTCGTGACATGATGGTTTACAAATCTCTATTGAACTTTTTATTGAAATATTAGTGAATTAGAATAAACTGATACTTCAAGTTCAGTGTGAACTCTCCTTATTCAATTTTAATATTTTTTATTAGTACCTGTTGGAGTATGTAACAATTATAATCCTCATGAGGAGGTGGTACATGTATATAACATATCTCAATTCTTCTTAATCTATTAAAGTAATGAACAGCAAGGAAAGATCACAGCATTGGTATTATCTCATTTTTCATCTACTAGTAGAAGTGCTCACAGCAAAATCAACTGCTAAAAAAATACTGTTTCTCTCTATTTCAAACCCACTGGTAGAAATAGTAACAAATGGACAAAGCATGCACAGGTCAAAGAAATATGACAGGTCTTGGGTAATAATAAAACCAAAGATCTCTTTTATGAAGTAATTGAATACAACTACAATTAATTCACATTGAAGCTTTTAAAATAAAGGGGATAGGTAAGAGTTATTGGTCACAGGTTTTACAAGTCAGATATGACAATTAAGAAAATTAAAAGAAACTTGAAAGCTGGTTAAAAATACTGTATTCTCTGACAAATTAAGCTGTGCTTACTGCTAGTTTGCATTTTTCCTTTTAAAAAGTCACAGTATTGGCAATAGTTTATTACTATATTTGTCTTTTTGAAGTAGACATAAAGTTAAGTAAGAGAAAAATGGACAGAAAACAATTAGTGTTTCCTGAAATATTTTTCACCTTAATAAAGTAATTATTATTCTTCTATGAGGTGCCATAATTTTGAATCTGATTTAGTGCGCTAAATATTTAAAAGTTTGATGAAAAACATTAATATGGTACTGGGGAAAGAACTTCATATAAAATGAATTTATTATCTATGTTGGGCTCAATCACATATTTTAAAGGTATGTTCCTAAGAGGGAAAACATTCCGAAGACAAAAATGAAATTTTAAAGAACACAAGATTAAGGCAGTAGTCTTAAAATTCATGATATGACCAGTAACACTGTTAGAATATTTTTGTAACATGTTCAAGACTAAGAACTTTGTAGGTTTTTCCCTCTTGAGGCTTTCTTCAGACAAGATGCTTTGCCATACATGCACAGCTTAGAAATATTTAAGTCATAGTCTTAGGCTTTGACCAAAGAATAAGTAGTTCACTTGTATTTGTATTTATTTAAGCACTCTAATGGCAATGCATTTATTTAAAATGATAGGAACTCATACTAAATGGTAAAAGTATTGATAAAGGTTATACAGAAGACAATCTCTCTGCCTCTTTTATCTTTAAAATAAACTACTATAGAAACTATTATAGGAATAAAACAAAAGCATATAAAGTAAGCTGAAATAATTCTGAGTACACAGATAAATAGTAGCTCTTATTATCATTATATAATAAAATGGTCATACTCACTCTTTTGTTGAGACAAATAACAGGCCACAGGCTGCAGCCCAGTGTGCAACAGCAGCAGAGACATCCACACAGCAGCCATTTACCATTGACTGGGAGAGCCTTTCTCAAGCACGCATTCACGCGGCCAATGCTGGTCTTAAATTCTTCTGGGGCCACCTACAACAAGGGCACCATCTTTAACAGTCTGTGGGTGGCTCCTCATTATTTATTTCTAAACCTAAGGAAAATGTCTTGTTACAAATCCTTCAAAGAATTTCAAATGTCTACTTCCTCTCCTTCCCACCCATAAGTACATATCACACTCTTGAAAAACACTGGAAAATAAAAGAATACAATTTCATATTCACAGATCGTAGCCTGATGTTCAATAACAGTCTTCTGAAATGACCAACAATAAAATGACAGCAATAAAAGTAATGGTTAAGGATACCAATTAAATAGTTTTTTTACCAAATATTGTCATTAAGTCAATACTGTTTATGGTCCTCAGGCAAGTCTAATTTGAGTAACAGTTAAAAGCATAAGGCAATAAAAACTCAAATACAACAGACAAAATGGAATTAAAATTAGATCTTGGCAATATCCCTGGACTACTTTTTTTTTCGGTACTGGGGATCAAATTCACAACCATGGGCTTGCAAGGCAGGCGCTTAAGCCAATGAGCTAAATCCCCAGGCCCCTGGACTACTTTTTCAAAGGCAACTCTTAAAACTTTTCTCCAAGGAAAAGTTGCTACATAAATTTTAACACTTGTCACTGTTTGCAGGGAAATGTCACATTAACAAAAGACAATGCCTAGCAATTATATTTAATACAACCTGCTAATACTCAGCATAAAACAAGGTTTTGAAAGTTGACATATGCAAATTGAATATTTACAAATTACAAGTTAAAATACACAAATTTAATTTCTAGTTACTTGCTCCATTCTTGGAAGTGGCTGCTTGTGACTCACTGTAAACAAAGGCAAAGTAAGTTCAAATACATCATAACTAGATTTACACCCAAAATTCTGCTTGAAGGTTATACAATTCAAAGACATACTAAAAATAGTTTGCTTTCAGTGAAATCACATTTCTGGATCAGAAATCTGATTCTCCTTTACTTAGAAAGTGGTCAGATTTTTAAATTTATAGGAAAGATTTTTTAGCACCAGACTGTGAAAGGATAAATCACAAAATTATACAGAAAAGTAAACCACTATAAAATAAAAACCCAATTGGTATGTCAGATATCAGTAAATAAATAAAAAAATTGTGCTGGAAGAATCAATTTGTTACATTTTCAACCTTTAGTAGAGATGCCTTAGAATCAATACCTCAAAATGCATACCAATTAGCTGATGGTGTAAGATATATGATCACAAACTTCAACACTATCATGATTATAATATTAAGTATATAAACTTTATTAGAACTATTTGTGCTACCCAATAAGGTTAACTGCTAATAAATACAAAATCCAATAAATCTGATTTTCTTCCTGATGGTCAACAGTTGTGAACTACAAAGATTAAAATGTAGTTTCGACTGGACAAGTAAAACAGTTCCTTTCATCATCTAGATTTTCAGCAATGACCATCACTGTGTACAAATAATTCCAATTAAATGATAAAATTTCTGGGGAAATATGAAAATATAGTCAGAGAACCATTCTTTATCATTGAAAACAGAAAACACTAACAAGCTAAATACACTAGAAAATAAAGAGATCTTGATTCAAGTTCTTCTTGGTTAAGAAAAATCCCGGGGAAAATCATTTACTTTTTCTGAGTTTCAATTTTTGCATCAATAAAATGGAATAAAAGCTTTTGTTTCATATATTCACTGGGAATGAAAATTACAACCTAGAAAGAATTTCATGAAAAGAATACTTTGAAAAAGGGAATTTATAAATTATATTTCTGAGTAGACTTGGAGAAAAGAAAAGCTCACTTTTGTATGGATTTGTATCTGACGCAATGAATTTGATAATATAATTACTGCTCTACAGCTTTTCTGTGTATTTTATTATAAACCAAAGGATAATATGCTACATTTGAATGTAGATTCAATGTTCTTCAGTTATTCAGAGAAGATGTTCCTTTTCTTTTCCTTTCTCTTTCCTTTATTTCTCCTATTTTTGGGGAGGCTGCAGAGAATTGAACTTAGGATCCTGTGTATGTTAAGCACACATTCTATCGTAGCATTGACCTACAATGCCAACTTTTTCAACTCTTTATAAAAACAAGTTACTAAGCAAATATCTTAAGATTCATCTCTCTGAAAAAGCAATATTCAACTTCTTTATTCCCAGGAAACCAAGTAGAAGTTAAAATAAAGAAAAATGTGTGTATAAATTTAGCTCTATTTGTAATCTAATATTATATCCAGAATAAATACATTTTTAAAAATATTGCAAGGTATGATATAAATTCATGAAAATCATAAAATTATTACCTATGCCCATTAAGAAATTAAAGGACTTGCAACTAGAATTTAAAGTTTTATTTAAAAGTGAAAACAAACTACAGATGAAAAAAAGTAAAAGTAAAGAGAGTATAAATGCAGAAATGAGTCACTCTGAAAGAAAAAAAGTGTATGTTTACATAGAAAACCAAACTCTAGACCAGGCATGGTGGCACACACCAGTAGTCCCAGTACTTGGGAGGCTGAGGCAGGAACATACTGCAAGTTTGAGGCCAGCCTGGGCCACGTAGTGAGTTCAAGGCCAGCCTAAACTACTTAGCCAGACAAACAAAACAAAAACAAAGCAAAGCAAACTAGTTTAACTAGGAAAGAACAGTGTTAAAAATGTGAGGCAGACTAAAGCTAGGAAGAAAAAAAGGAAAGAAAAACTGTCCTTTTATTTAAAACATTGAGTGAAATACATTATATGCCAAAGTATATAGAATTCGTTATATGTCAAAGAAAATAATTAAAATGTAGCAATTTTCCTTCTTTCTCACCAACATTTCCACTTACAATAGTCTCAGTCTATACTCTTACCATGGACAAATAAAGTTAAAATACTGAAGTTACTAAAAATGAGAATTTAAATTTTTGAAGACATAAGATAAATATATTGAAAACCTTTTACTAGAATGACAAAAACAATCAGGTATGCATTTTGACTTTAAAAGGAAATCAGAATTGTCTTTGACCAAAACCTGTATTTGAACCACAAAAGTCACAAAATATAGTTGTAGGAAATGAGAATTAGTTAACTCTCAATTTTAAATGATATGAAAGAAATGTTCAATGAACTGTGTAGAATTAGAATTAAACAACATTTTACTCATTTACTTCCATATAATTGAGTAATGTAACCAGCTGGAAGCCACTTACTTCCTAGCTGACTAGTAGGTTTTATTTTATTTTTATTTTTCGCCTTTTTTTCTTTTTTCTGGTACTGGGGATCGAACCCACAACCGCCTGCTTGCAAGGCTGGTGCTTATGCCACTGAGCTAAATCCCCAGCCTTGACTAGTAGGTTTTAAAGAAACATTTCATTCCTTTTATTCTCTTGGAAATAAAAAAAGAAAACTACATCATAAAAGTGGAGAAAAAGGTCTTAATACTTTGTAACAGGGTGAAGGAGATTCTGCAAACAGCAGAAAATCTAAGCAAAATCCAGCAGGGCTGATTTCCTCCTTTAGTTGTGAGGAATACAGCTCAATCAACCACTTGTCATAAACTGGATCACAACAGTAAAGGTCAAATTTTATGGATTATGATTCCCAACACTACACACTAATCTTCCCATAATATCATACTATTTGGTTGTTTAAAATTAAGGGCCAGAAGCTTTATTTCTTTTCCAAAGTTCTATGCTTCTTTCATTTTCCAATTAACAGAAGTTGTGTGTACATATCTCCTTGATACACCCTACCATGACAGGTGAATCTATCTTTAATGACACAGTGAAAACAATCTTTTCTGAACTTAATGAAAATTTTTTTGCATTATGAATATTAATACAAAAGAAGCATAAAAGTAAATATTGAGCCACAGAGCTTGGCAAAAAGGTTTTTAAGTTTTCAGAATTCAATGAGGAATTTTGCTTACTTCAGGCAGGCATAAAATCTACGTAAAAATTCACTCATGCTGGAAGACTAATTTTGCAAAGAATAGCTTTGTTCTATTTCAGCTATTGTATTTATTCATTTTAAAATAGTTCAACACAAGAGCTATTCAGTCTTGAATTCAGATATTTTGTTTTTTGTTTTTTGTACAGTCACATGAAGTCTCTTCCCAGTTACTGGAGAAGCATTTTGAGAATCCAAAGTAACCTATATAAATAAAAAGTGCCTCCTGGAGAAAATTTATCTCATTAAAAACAAAAAAAAAGAATGAAAGTAATGTTACAGTTATATGACTTTTAAAGATCAGGCGTTCAGGGTCTGGGAGTATAGCTCAATGGAAGCATGCAACATGTCCTGGATTCCATCCCCAGCATCAAATCAATCCATCTATCAATCAATTAAACAACTGACTTCCAGCACTGTTTAATGTTTTTCACATCAAGAAAACTACTAGTGTCATATATGCTTTAGCCAATATAAGAGAAATTTTTGCACCAGAAATGATACATACTTGAATAAATACCCATCTTTGTGAAAAGTGCTACAAAAAATGGTTACCTCAAAAGAATGGATGTCTATAAGAACAGGTCCTATCCATATATCGTTTAGGTTATATGAAGGCACACCAAAAATAGTTTACCATTCTTACTCTTCTAGATTTAAGCAATTAAACTATCCTTTGGGTGAGTGAACCTTTTAGTCAGGACGCCTGGGAAGAAATGAGGAGATATGAAAAAATATTCCAAAGATTCCTTGAGTATATGAAACTGGCCAATTCCAAAATTAGGTAATTCTTACACCAAGGAACTGTATTTACTGACATTTCTAGTTGATTCCTTTTCTAGAATTTCTTAGACTTGTAATTCAAACTTAAAAAAGAAAGACAATGTTAATGCTAGCTTTAACTGCCCAGACAACAAACACAAACAGCAAGGGAAACAAAAAGAATATGTTTTTTATTGGAAATGTTTTAATTCACATTCTCTTTAATTTTAGTATTGAATTTATCATCTTATCAGTATGTTATTATTCAAAAGATACTTTCAAGGCTGTTTTATTCATTTGGAGAACATATTTTTAATTCATTTATATAAAACAAATCTAAGTCTAAGCTGTTGCTTTAATTGGTGAGTTATCTTAAATGATCAGGATAGGAAAACAAAATGTAGTAGAAACTAAGGCAAACGTCCCATACCACAAAATGTTTTGAGTCTTAAAAAGTGATGTGGCCATATACAGGGACTATGCTTACTATTGCATTGAATGATTTGATGTTATACCTGGAAGAGACAGAAAGGGCCAACAGTCAGTAGGATACATTAGTAGTAAAACTAGAGAATAAAATATAACTTAGATAAAAAAGGGGCTAAACCAATTAAAAAATGAAAGCCAATGAATAAATTGAAAGAAATAATCAGTGTGAAACGTTACAATGAGAATAATTAACAACAAGCCCAAACTTACATTAGGAAATTAGTAAGTATCTGAGAATACACTACAAACTTCATTTATGCACTTGCATTTAATCTTTAAAACTAAAAATTAAGATGGCACATACCTGGAAAATGTATCATGACAAAAGAAGCTAATATTAGTAGAAGCAACATATCCTGTTCTCAAACATTTTGTTCAAACAGTTTGGATAAGAGAACAAATTAGAAGTAAATGAAAGTCCAAAAGGTTCAGAAAACCTCATCCCCACCCTTCCCTCATCCATTTTACTCTCCTTTTTCTGTCAAAGGCAGTAACTTTTATTAGTTTTATGTATATCTTTCTAAAATTTCTTTATGCTAAGTACAATTATTAATGTACTAATTTCTCCCATTTCATATAGATAGACAACTTGTCACTCTGTGTACCTTGCTTCTCTAATGATATGAGAAACATTTTAACACTAAAAATAGCAATAGAAATGGGAAAGTTTTGAAATAAAATTAACATCTACACTGAAAAGCATCATTATGTTAGTACTAAAATTATTATACAGAAAAATTAAATTACAGTATCCCAAATGTAAAAATTAACAACTCTTAACCCTTAATAGTCATGTCAGTTATCTAAACTTTTAGCTAACAACCATTTCGAAATTATTGCATATTTTGCAATCTAATGGCTTTTTTCCTTTACATTTCTTCAAGCAATAAATGGACAGAAATTTTAGGCAGAAAATTTTCCTTTGGGCTGAAAAGTTACCATTACTGTTGCACAGGATTTTTCAAATATATTTTTTAAAAATACTGTACATATTTAAGGTGCACAACAGGATGTTTTGATATAAACATACAAGGTAAAATGATAACCAGTCAAGAAAATCAACAAGTTTATCTTTTTACATAATTATTTTTTCTTGTGTGCTTAGAGAACCTAAAACCTACTCTTAGCAAATTTCTAGGCTATAATACAACGTTATTATTCATAATCATTATGCAGTAAAAGTCTCCACATTTATTGTTTTGAATCCCAGTAAGTCTTTGAATTTTGAGACTAACTACAGAAGAATCAGAAAACAAGAAGGTAATAATTTATTATAGTGAGTCCAATTTTAGAAAACCAAAGTATTTAAAAGGCAAAAAACTATCTAACCAAACATTCTATTCTTTTCATTTGTAACAAATCACACCATGTAGTACACTAAAAATAACTGATATAGTTAAAAAATAACTGTGTTAACAAACATTGGAAATTATTAACAGAAATAGAAACAATCATAGCTATCATGCTAGAAAAAGAGGAAAAACTGAAAAAGCTGAATATCTAAAGAAATACTGATCAGCACTAATGAACAATTGACAAAAATAACTGGTCAGAAGTTGGTAGTCATGGAAACAGCTTTCAATCTCTCCCAACACAGTTTGCTTGAATAGAGGCCTCCTGTTATTTGACTTCATTACAAAAGAGTCAAAGCATTTGTCATGACACTAGGAGTCATAAAACAATGCATTAGGATTGGAAAGTTCAAAGCAAACTACCACTTACCTTCCCTGTTAGAACTGAGGGAAATTCAGTATCAAACTTGTTGCTCAAGCCAAACCTTAAAAACAAAGAACAAAATATATTCTATCCAACATATTTAACCCTTTCTTTCTTAAAAAAGTTAAAAACCCATGCATTTTTCTTTCAGTCTTCTTATTTAAAATGTGTCCTAAACATAAACAATTTTTAAATTTTATGTACAAGTTAAAATACGCTTAATTAAAATAGGTACAGAAGTCCCTAAAAACATTAAATTAAAAAACGTCATGAAAATATATTAAATGACATTTACAAAAATTAAATCTTTAACTATTAATTCAAATTAGCATCAACTATTATCTAACAAGAGCACATGTTAAAGTAGGATTTCAACTACACCTGTGATAATGAGATTAAATCTTAATAAACTGGAGAAACAACTGCAGTCGAGCTGAAAATGACAAAACCTTTGACCAAATTTTTTTTTGCTAAAATCTATTGGCACTGGACTTCAAAAAAAATGGCAGTGTGTGGGAAAGCATTATACTGTTCTACTTTTGTGTATGCATGAAAATGTTCCCAATAAAAAGTACTGTCTTCCAGGCTGGGCATGGTGGCACACATCTGTAATCCCAGCACTTGGGAGACTGAGGCAGGAGGAACACTGTGAGTTCTAAGCTAGCCTAGGGTACAAAGGGAGTTCAAGGCCTGCCTGAACTCTGCATACTGAAACCCGGTCTCAAAAAGACCAAAAAAAAAAAAAAAGCAAAACATGGTCACCCCATTGTTTGAACCAGGAAGCGGACATTCAGGAAAAAAGTTTCAACGTTAATTAAATGAATTGCCTCAAGCCATATATTTATCAAGTAATTTGGGAGAACTGAAATTCAAATGATGACCCAATCATTATATCTTCTCTGTTCTATATTAAGCACCTTGAGAACAGAAACTGTGGGCTATTTATTTTGCTGTTTTCCATTATGCACAGCAGTATATTAGGACTCTATCTGGTAGGTGTTTAATAAAAGTCTACAACATAATAACTTACTATCCTATTTGATTCAGATGATTTATGGCACTTTGGTCTTAGGGTCTTTTTAACAAATGTTGGGAAATCAATGTATAAATAAAACTCTATGCAAGTGTATGTTTAAGCATGTAAGATATATAACCATATTACACAGTTTTTGTTGGATCACTGAACACAACAGTTTACACTCTCATTGTTTGTCCACTTTTTATGCTTTAATTCTGTAACTTGAATAACTGTTTCTATGATGAAAATATGTAATTTATCAACTAGTAATTTCTTAGTGTTAATTTTTTTTGAAATTCTGTATTATTTCTACCCTTTTTTCTGTTTGCTTTTCTTTTTCCTTTTTAAATAAATTTTTTAAAACTCTGCAGGGATTTCATATTCTCTTTGCATCGTTTATGTTCATAGCTCATATTTGAATGTACAACACAGTCCTAATAACAAAGAGTATATTTAGCAACTAGTAGCAAGATACATATACCTGTGCATAAATATTGTACTGATACGTTGAAGATCTATTTCAAAACAAATTCTATTATTTTAAAAACTTGAGAAAACAAATTGGCAATTACAAAAAGAACTTAGCTACATTAAAAAGTCACTCAATACTTGTATTTAAGTATTATACAATATGCCATGAAACTATAATACATAAACACACATTCTCTTTAAATTTGCACACAGATAGTAATACAGCTAAATTTAAAACAAGGTGGGTCATCCCTATCCATGATTTTTAATGACAGTTCACCTGCTGCTTGAGAAACTGACACTCTTGTGTTATACACATATTTACAATTATGTGCTAACTCAGCAATCAATGGCAAGTATCTAATAGACCAAATAGTATTTCACTTAAATCATTAAACTTTATCGCTAGTCAAAGAGATACTCATTTTTTTCGCTACACAACAAAAATGACAAATTTTTCATTTTTAGAATGTATGCACATGTATTTGAAAGTAGAGCTCTATTTCCACATTTTATCTAAATGTCTTTTAGATGCAATATGAATAACATGTTCCTACCTATTTTAAGATATCGCTGTCATTTTAACTTTTACCAGCTACCATTCTTTACTAGATATCAAATATACAATAGATACAAGTACAATCATTAAAATGTTTAGAATATTTTTATTATAAAAATTCTGAGCTTTACATGCTGTTTTTGCACATTATCACTTGACAAATGAACTTTCCACTATCCAGTTCCCTAATAAACCCTCCCTTTTTAAACTTTTGAAATTTGATTTTTGATGTCATTTTACAGAAAATATTTCATGCAGTAAATTTATTCAGAAAGACAAATTTATCATCGTATTTATTGTCAAATTCAATGTATTCTAAGAACAAATTTCTCCTCTTTGCAGCCATTACACTGTTGATTACAGCCTTCCTAACAATCCCACTCTTTTCATTGAGCCCCAACACTCACCTTTTCCCAAAATTTAGTTTTAATTAATGTGCTTGTTTTTCTAGGGGAACTCTAACAGTTTGTCTGAATTTAATGTCTTTGAAAATTCCTGCTATACTGATGATCATCAGATCTATTATCTCTAATGATGTGTATTTTCAAACATGTTCCAGCGCATCTCTAAATGTATAATGAAACTTTCATTTGTATATATGCTACAAAATAATACAATTTCAACTGAAACATCTAAAATCAAATATTATCCTTTCTTGAAAATCAGTTTCAAAATTCTTTCTCAATGGCACACTACTCTTCCTTTCACCTAGATCTTGGTATCAATTTTGTACTTTCTCTCTCCTGCTTTTTGTACCTTGTTAAAAGTAAGTAGTCTCTGAGTCCTATCATTTATCCCTTTAAAATCATTCTCATAAAGGTTCGTTCTATTTCATTCCCACTTCCACTTCTGTTGTTGTCTTTGCTCATGTGGTTTGTTTGGTCCCTCTCGCTACTTTAAATCCTACTCCTCAAGCCTAAAATCAAGTTCCAACCCCCACTACGTGCCTTGAATGCACTACTAATCCACATTATACAGTTCAATAATTAATAGTTTTTTCTTTGCAGCTCCATATCAATATTTTAAAGGCAATTACCTTGTTAGCTTTGAAAAAATAAAACCTGTTTATTGTTACCTCTATTCTTCATAGAACTCACCTCTAGTGCTCAAATTCTCAAGAAATATTTGCTGAATTGACATTACTAATTTTCTTCTCTAACATAAAAAGAAAAAGGAATTATCTTTCTAAAATATAAAAAAGCATTAGAACTAGTGAAGGAAGTAGAATTTCATTTCATAAAATGCTCCCCTATTACCCACATACAGTCAGCGCTCAGTATCTGTGGGAGACTGATTCCAGGCCAACACTTTGAATATGAAAATCCTCAGATGTTGTATTAAAACAGTATGTATTTGCACACACCTACTCACATCCTCCTATACAGTTAGAATCACCTCTAGATTAACTATAGTTACCTTTGAAATACAAATGTTATGTACATAGTTTTCATATTGTATTGTTTAAGGAACAGAAAAAGCCTGTACACATTCAATATGGACGTAATTGGGCAGAGCGGGGTGATAATCTACACTTGTTAAATTCTGTGGATGCAGAACCTGTGGGTATGGTGGGTCAATTTATAAACTGACCTACCATACAATTTACAAATTTATATCCACATAGAAAAGTGTGAAGAAAAACAAACCCCAATATTCTTTCATAATTTTGGCTAACAGTAGCATTCCTACTCTTGTACATGAGAGATTTAACTTTTTTTCTTTAGAAATTCAATACAAAAAAAGTATAACTCAAAGATCTTCAGGCCCAAGAGTCTTACTTAGTTACTACTAAGATAATGGTCAAATGGCTGTTGCTGAAAAAAAAATCTCTGATTTATTTCATAAACAAACCATCAAATTAAGAACCTTGAGGTCACAGAGGTTAGACAAGCTCATCTATTCATTACTCATCTGAGACAGTCACTGGCCGAGATGTGGGACTCTTCAGCATTAAACAAACACTTGGGGACTGCACACATAGCTATTTTATCAACTTTACTAATTATAATATCTGTTATGGTTTGAAATTCACCAAGTTAGTGGTTCTCACCACTAACACCAGTACAGTAGTGGTACTGTATTTTTTGTCAAGTATTTTCAATATTCAAAATTTTAACTTCTTAGAACAATGCTTTGGAGTAAAGAAATTCAATTTTCTTCAGTTCTTCAATGAGAGCAATAGGTCCTTTTAATTGTTCTTTCCTCTATTTTTATTCCTCTCTACACTCCTCATTATTCTTAATCTTTCTGAAAGTAAACATATGTGACCCTGCAAAACCTTGTATAAATTAAAGTTCATATGCTCAGACTGTATAAGAAAATGATGCAGTAAAACTCTGACAACAATCTACACAATTTTACAAGAAAATTATGTGCTTAAGATTGAGTCTGAAGCACATGCACTGAACTCTATATTTATGATACTAAAGAAAAGGGGAAAAAGAAAGGCTATCTATATAACACAAAAAACATTTTAAAAGATCCTGGGTAGATCTCTTTATATAGAAATAACCATGTCTCACCACACTTCATAATGACATCACCATAACTTCAGTATTCACAAAGCTTAAAGCCTTATAAAAGAGTCACCTTTTATAAACATAAATTAACAGTCCATCACTGTAATTCCTCAAAGATAGTAAGAAAAAAAGCATTCCATTCTCTGATTTGAGAAGTATCAGAATTTGTAGTGCTGTTTTGGCAGAAATGCAGTTTCACAAATTGGACCATCTTCATAACCTCAGCTTTTCAAGATTAATTTTAATGAGACAATTTATGAAATCCTGAGAATTAGCAATCTATTGTCTCTACTAATGTCTATACCAGTATTCTAGCGAAGGTAAATATCCATATATTTTAAGACTATAAGGAGCATGATTGTATCTTTTAATAACCAAAAAAATCTCGTAAGATGTATTTTTTTCTGTAGTTCAATATATTTGCTCTAAATGATTACTCTAAAAAAAGGAAAGCAATAAATACACATGTAATATCATTCAGATGCATAGTAGTT